TCGTCCATAAGTTGAGATTAGTCCCCATATAGCCACTTTGTGAAGCCCTAGCGCATTCGCGTACTTTCGAGCCGCGGCGACGGCACATCAGTGATGCTCGTGGGCCACTCTATTCTACCCACACAACAGATTCTATATAGGTTATGAATGAGTTCTCATGAATAATGGGTGTGGTTCACTAGGACAGAAAGCGACTTTTTCGCGTTTCGCAGCGCGAAACATTGTTCGTTGCGGGAATCTCGGGTCCACTGATGATTCGCTGTGGGAACCTCGGGTCCACTGATGATCAGCGGTGGACCTGAGGTTCCTGCAGCGAAAGGCGAAAAATTCGTTTCTGTCCTAGTGAACCATACCCATGAATAATTCCCTGAAGATCTTGCACAGATGCGGATTCAGGGTAGCTTAATTCTATCATAGCATTGTTCTCCGTTTAAATCCAACAGCACATCTGTTTCAGCTTTTCAACGGTGACTTTGTTGATCGCGGCTCCTTCAGTGTTGAAACCATTTTCACAATGTTTAGTTATAAGCTACTCTATCCTAACCATTTCTTTTTATCGCGCGGAAATCACGAAAGTGACGTAATGAATAAGGTGAGTGGAAACGTTGAAAGATCATGTTGTTGGAACACATTGTGTGGCGAGCTGCTGTTCCTTTTTATCTGAATGCTCCCTGATCTATCTGCTTTCCAGATGTACGGCTTCGAAGGGGAAGTAAGAAAGAAGTACACGGCTCAAATGGCTGATTTTTTCACTGAGATCTTCTGTTTGCTTCCTCTGTGCCATCTTATCAATAGGAAAATTTTCGTGAGTTTTCCACCTCTGTTTTGTTGCCAAACTTGTAATTTTGTGCAACCAAAAGACAGCAGTGAGCACTGTAGTCGTACGTGATTGCGCAATTACGTGAAGTTTTGGCAAATCTCTTTGTTACTGGTACGTAATTGAGGAGTGACTGACAGTGTTCAGGTTTATGATTGTGATTAGGCCGTGTGAAATTTAGTACGGATATCAGGGAAGGAAGACAATGGTAAAATAGGAGAGATCGTCTCATAACTGTTTGACATGGACCGAAACTGCAGTGAAGGGGTGGAGAATAACAGCGTCATCTATGAGATAAAAATGCAATGTTCAGATAAGAAGCGATAGCATCATTATCAACATCAAAGTTTTCGCGCTGTATCTCTTGTTGGAAGCTCCCAACAGTACCCTCCCAGAACTCGAAGGCTACGTTCATAGTTCGCGACTCCGGAGATTAGGATAAAGCATAAGCATAAAGCATTTGCCGTTGATCAATCCCTTTTTGGGATGTGGCACGCTTCCATTAACTACCTTATATATACTACATACTTATACTTATACGCATTCTACTTCCATTTGTACATTCGTAGTGGCGTTTGAATGCGATGTGGCCTATACAATGACTTGCGGGGGCCAGCCGATGTACAAGTCAGTGTTTTTATCCTCCCAGACAAGTCTGGTACCAATTAACCGACCCCGGAGGGATGGAAGGCTTGGTTGGCCCGGGCGACTCACGACCCAGGATTTGATCCCCGGACCGCTCGCGTGGTAAGCGTGCCACTTGCCACTACACCACTTCCGCCCTGAGATTAGGATAGTACGCGACAATGAAAAACATATGTATTGACGGGGAGATTAGGATAGTAGTAGATTAGGATAGTGCGCTGACAAGATTAGATATGTATTGATCTATTCGCTTGAAGTCGCCCAATCTACTACTCTCCAGCGATTTCAATCGATACGTATCCAATCTTGTCAGCGCAATCTCCTACTCTACTACTATCCTAATATCCTGTCGCCTACTATCCTAATCTCCCGAGTCGCGAACTATGAACGCGGCCGAAGCTCTACTTTGTGATAGTCGTTATCCGATATAAAGCACAAATTGAAGTTGGAGCTTTATATGTTGGCGTGTAGTCGGTGTGTAGCACAAGAACCTGAGCGAGAAGTCCTTTATTGCGAACCGCTCACTCTCACTTTTATACTCTCATTCACAGTCACATTCACTCCTCTCTCCGTCGTATCTCTCTCATTCTCCTCCCCATGTCGCCATCGATACTGACACGTCACCCCCCCCCGCTAACCTCCCACTAGCGGACCCGGCGGTCAATCGAGTCACGTGGGTGTTTGTTACTAGCGACATCACGTCTACCCTCCCCCCCCCAGTGCAGCAGATACCCTACTTCTGCAGCAACACATGATAACGAACATATTTATTACACATGCAAAATCACAGGGCCCCGCCGTTTCCGTGGGCCTCACCTCTTCTCGGCCCTTCGGCGGACCCGCTCCTCGATCGCTCGTCCCGGCTTCTTCCGGCCCTCCTTCCTCTCGACGCGGAACGACTCCATCGCCTTCTTGACCGCGAGCGGCTTCTTCGTCTGGGTGCAGAAAAACTCCGCTCGTGCATTTGCAATTGCACTTGCCCAAACCTCTTGGAACAACCTCTTGTTGCTTATCCAAGATACGCACTATTTCTTTTTTGATTTCCACATTGGGCATCTGTTTCACATTGTGCACCAACTCATAATGCGGTCCACAATTAATCTGTAGCCTCCTAATCATGTCTCTTCCACACAAGGAGTGACTCGCCTCCTTGAATACATGTATATCCACCATCGCCTCCTTGCCGGCGAACTTAATATGTAATGGAACTTTGCCTTGGAACGTGATGCGCTTATTATCAAATGCCGTTGCTGCCACCTCCGCCTTCTGCAACTGCGGTCGGCCTAGTTTATGCCAAGTCTTCTCATCAATAATAGACAGCGATGCGCCAGTATCCAATTCAAATGGAATCTTCTTTCCATTCACTTCCATATGTAGCATTCGCGGTGGCTCATCCGCCAACCGGTCTATTCCGCTTTGGACGGGCGTATCCCTAGCTACCGTTTCCTTATCAGAGTGTTGTTCATTTTTACTGGCAGCGTCTGCAGTAGCGGCATTCACTATTCGGATGGTACCGCACGCTCTCTCTCTCTATCATGAGCGGCACAACTCTCCGTCGCAGCACTGTAATTTCCATTCTGGCTGCGAAATCCATCGTTCAAGCGATCCTCTGCTGTTCTGCTCATTTTGCATCTATACACCGGATTCCTGCTCCCAGCTCTACGGCAGTGGGGTAAGCGTGATTTCACTACCATATTCACGCTCTGACTTACCAAATCCTCACCACTGCCGGAGCTTCCGGTGGGCTCCTCACACCAATGAACCTGGCGGGAGACTTTGCGGCCTACTCTAGCATTCTTCCAACATGTCACTGCTAGGTGGCCCTTTTTCTTACATACTTTACAGTATGCTGTTTGCTTCCTGGAAACACTCGTAACCGGCATGGCCTGGTGCTCCGCAAACTCTACACTTAAACTCCCTCCGAGCTGGGCCCTTGCTCGGTTTTCTCTTTTGCTCACTCGCTTGTGCGCGCCATGCCAACTGCCGGTTACGCATTCTTACCTGTGCTACTCCTGCAGCTTGAGGTCCTTCCTTCAAGTGTGGAGCGTTTTCTCCAACGCTCAAATGCTTCAGCCTGCTCCAGCGCCTCCTTCGATGTCAGGTCCTCTCTCCAGCAACCGTTTCCTCGTCTCTACCGAGAGCAATCCTCCGATGAAAACCATTGTTACCACCGCATCCCGGTGGTTCTTAATTTCCTCAAAGCCGCACGTATTCGCCGCCTTCTGCAGCTCGGCGTAGTATTCGTGCAGGGCTTGTCCTGGTTTCTGGACTTTCGACATGAGGCCAAAACGCTCTGCTAATACCAGCTTCTTCGGCTGGTAATGGCGTTCCATGGCTTGCCGAAGATCCTTTAGCTCCACCTCCTCCAGCTCTCGGCCCTGCAGGAGTGATTCGAGCAATTCATAATTCGAGTTTCCCACCTCCTGCAGGAAGATCAGCCTCTGGTCTTTTTCTTCTGTCACCTTCCTCAAACGAGGAAATTGGGAACAGCCTCCACCAGGTTCGCCACGATGTCCCCGGCACATATGGCCCTGGGGCACGACCCCGGTACACTTCAGTACCGGAATCCACCATCGTGGTTCTGCCTCCTCCGCTTTCCTCCACTTTGCAGCCTCCTTGCCCAGCCTCCACGGTCGTCATCCTGATCGCCAGTTGGTGTGTAGTCGGTGTGTAGCACAAGAACCAGAGCGAGAAGTCCTTTATTGCGAACCGCCAACCACTTTTATACTCTCACTCAAGTCTATCACTTCTCTCTCCTCGATCTCTTCTCATTCCTCTCATTCGTACGTACCACACCCCCTACAATATTCTGCGTTGCATTGATAGTTTTTTATGGAAATGTGTCTGAAAATCTTCCATGCATCTGCAGTTGCTGAAAGGGGCCAAAATAAATATGAAATGGCATACCCTCGAGTGCAAACTTGCCTTTTTCTTTCAGCTTTCAGTGCAGGATGGTAAGGTTGTAATTTGTGAAAAGAACGGAGGAAACCAATTCCTAATTGAACTTTTGTCAGGTATGCCACGGAGGCTTGTTCAAGGAAGACGGTGTAACTTTGGACGATATTCGAAAGACAGATAGAGTACGTCAACCTCCGGATGAAGGGATCATGTGCGATTTGCTATGGTGGGTGGCCACAAAATTGTCCTATTTCAAAAATTGTTCTGTCGTAGTAAAGCGACGAAGTAAGAAAAAGAATGTGTATTAGTTCGATTGTCGCTCCGCCGTGCACTGATTAAGCCGAGTAATACGACTAGTCTAAATTCCAGAGGGACAACAGAAACTCCATTTCCAAACTGCTGCGAAAGCGTAATCGTAGAGCTACTGATTCAGGTCAGATCCGCAAGAATTGCGAGGTCGTGCACCATCGAAACGTGGGGTAGGATGTCAGTTTGGGCCAGACATTACTGATGCTTGGATTGCAAAGAATGGTGTTCAGTACGTCGTGAGGTGAAAATTTAGTGGTTTTGGCTAAGCATTATGTATGCAATAAATGTGTTTACAGAAGCCACGAAGTAAAACCGGAAGGTTATGAGGTGCACCACAACGGCAAATGCATAACGGTAAGAAAAATTTTAACACATCAAGAACTAATGTGAGCACAGTCATTTTATACGTCCGATAGACTTTGGCTCAGGAGCGATGGGCTATGTTTAAGTGCAAATGATGCATCGGGTTTGCACGCGTCCGCTCATCTCTTATCACCTCTTTTTCTCTCACTATTCTTTTTTCTCATCACTTCGTGCTTATCGAGTTTTGCAAAAGGGGCTGCTTCTCTTATCATGTGTGTTAGCGCAAGCATGCGAATAATTTTGATATTTACGACGGATTCCTCGGTATAATGACACTTTCTGTGGATTTCACAAGGCAAGGCAGAACATTCATATCATGTTGCAGGTGTTTTCCGCTCCGAATTATTGTGATCAGATGGGAAATAAGGGAGCATTCATTACAATTACTGGAGATAATCTCACCGGTGAGTCGTTTGTATGGTTCAGTTAGGCCCTTATTCACCTTTTCGGTGTTTCAATCTCGTCATTTGATGTCGCTCATGCTACTATCTTCAGCCGAAATTCACTTCATTTGAAGCTGTTCCACATCCAATGGTTCCACCGATGGTTTATGCAAATAGCCTCTTCGGGTTTTCTTGATGAATAGGAGATGTTGTTAGCGCATATTCGTTTGTTTGTTACTTGTTTGTTTACGCTCACGTCCTTCGTTGATTGTATCATTGATATCAGAAACGATATTAGTCCTCACATGATCAGAGTCATTCTAATCATGTCATGTATAACCATCTCGTTCAGGGTTAACCATACCTGAAGCCTCATATGTATGGAGAAAGTTATTGTTGTTGTTTCATTTCATTGAATAACGTACTGCTGAATCAGCTATGATAACCACTATATTGAGGCACTAGCAGCCATTATTTTACATACAATATTGTCGTTACTATGAAGAATTTGAAGTTCTCAGTACTTCAACCAAGAATACACAGTAGGAGCCGCGCACCAAGTCACTTTCTTGTCACTGTGTGTTGAGCTAATGCAACTCGTGAATCAGGAGCGGGTTGAACAGCTGCTGGTTGTGACAGTTACGGTCAATGCTCTTGACGTACCGTGTCTATGCGGTACTTGGTGAAACTGTAGCCAGCTGGAAATTTGACCAGCAACGCATGGGTTGCTTCCGGAATCTTCTGCTAGTAATGCCCTTGAGCGCCCAAAAGGGTCTGCGATCACTGCACCAGCGGGCGATGTTTTTTACGCTCCTGATGCTGTTTGGTCCCTCATCTGTCACTAGGTTGCAGATAGGAACGTTTGGGAAATAGGGTGAGTGTACTGGTAGTGTGCTCCTTCCGTATGTTTTGCGTCTTGATAGGCTGGAAAATTACATTAATTAGTTTTCAGAGAATATATAATAGTTGACATTTAATGATGTGGCTTGAAATTCGCGACAGAAAGGAATGGCAAGCCTTGTACGCTGCAACTAGCGCACCTTTGACCACAAAAACGCAACATTTCGTTTCCTTGGGCCCCTGACTACTGCTTCCAATGGTGCATGTACTTCCACGCTGCATACGCACTTTATCGTAATCTCTCGCTTTAAAGGAATCTTCGCGGAAAATTCTTGCATTCTTTCTTAACATGAATGTGTCAGTTGTGATCACTGGAAACAGCACACAAAGTTTCACGCATGAAGATTCGGTTTCCGAAGAGAAACAAACGTACAAAAACTACACGTTATGGACATCGAAGGTAATTCGGGCGGAGCCAAACGAGGCATGGAAAGAAGTTGGCCTTTGGCCGGCTACGTATCAGGCGACGCAATGAGGAATCGGGTTAAAGCGCGCGATTTCGGAGAGTAGAGACAAATCGATCGATAGAATAGGATGGAGTAGAAGTGTAAGATGTGAATGCAATAAAGCAGAAGGCCAGAAAGAGTTTCTAGTGAAGGCACTCCAAGAACCAAGTGGAAGCATTTGTGAAAGACGTCCGTGGGCACTTTGAACGCGTAGCAGCCCTTTCGATTTTTCGAATTTTTACCAAAACAAAGCAATATTTCTGTTCTTTTCATTCTTATCGTGGATAATGAGTCTCAAGCCAGTGATTTATGGCTGAAATAGAATCATGATTTTTCCGCGAAGGATTCCTTTAATCTTAACAGAAAGACCCTATTCTTCTATTTTTCGATGTCTAGAAAGGTGATTACTCCTTGTTGATGTGCAAAGTGTGAACTTGATGAAAGGACGAAGCATTTGGCATCGATCAGTACCTTTCGACGCACCGCGTATTTTACCTTTACTCATAGTCGTAGGTA